AATAATTAAAATTTTAAACAAACCTGAACTTACTAAGGCTTTTGTTTTGTTATTAATAAAAAAACTCGCACTACACATTCACGACTCGACTGCCATAACACACTAACGGATGTGTTTACAAATTCAAACTGTCCGTAATAATAATGTATTGTTGGTCACATACATACCTTATAAAATGTGTTATAATTTACTGAGAGGTTAAAAGTTTTGGGACCTTTATGTCCCGTCAGGACACAAAGGGTGGAGCCTAAATACTACAAAATTACTTCAGAGACTAAACAAAATCAGCACTCATTAATTATTTTAACAATTGCATGTAGATACGAGGGATACCTATTCCACAGATCACTTACTTTTAAAATGGAAACGGCAATGTTAAAATTCGAGACAATATTGTAGCCGCCGGGTGACCGTTCTTTGAACTATTTGAAAGGAAATGGCGCCATTTTGCTGTAACTTTAGTTAATACAAAACGCGGGAACATTCAAAATTGTCATTCAACATTTAGTTTAAAAGTGGTAGTCAAATTAAGATTTGTTCATACTAACTCCTTTTTTACGTTATTGTAATGTTATATAATTTGTTATAACATTTGTTACAATAAAGCAAAAAATGAGTAGTATGAACCAATCCTAACTTGACTACAAGTTTAAATAATTTATTAATACACAAAAAATTAAAAAGCATGATCAACAAAATTAATTTATTAAAACAAAAAAACATACAAATAGAATAATTAAATGTAGCATGTTAATTAGCTGAAAAGTTAAGTCATTATCCACAGAGGTTAAAGAGTTTTATCTAGAACAAAAAATAAATATTAATAAACTTAATCAAGAAGAGTGCAGGAAGAAAAAAGAGGTTAAGCCACATTTTTATCAAAATTGAATTGGTCCGCCCTATTTTGGAATTGTAAATAAATTAACAAATGCAAAACAGTGAATTTAAAATTATGTCCAAGGACATCTTTTTGTAATCAATTACCTTAAAGTATCAAAAGTTTGTATTTAGTGAGTCTAAATTAAATTTAGTTTTCTGGACATTTTGGTAATTGTGACTTGACCCCTTTTTCCCTGCACCCTTAAAATCTGTTAAGTTGGGTTAGGTTAGGTTAGTGAGGCATGAATAAAAAAGGTATTACTTCCCTGACTAAGCTATTTTGTCTTCCACAATTACAATACTGCCACTCCAAACTTGAAGAAAAAAACAGTTAGACCTCTGCGAGTACCAGAAACTTTAAACTTATTTTCAAAATGTTTATCACATACTAAATAGTTTTTACAAATTTGTTGTGTTGTTTTATTATTGAAAAACAAACTGCGAACGGCCAATACCCAAATTTTAAATAAATCATTATTAAGATCGGGTCTGGGAAAACAATGCCTTTTCAAAGTGTTTACAAAACAATTTGGCACGCAACAATACGACATATTATTTCAACTTTTAAATAAAAAATCACCGCAAAAATTTAAAATAGAATAATAGAACAATCATCAGCAAGATCAAGTTGACAATATAATAAACAATAATTTACAAAATACTTACTATTTATTCATCCAGGATCCAGGACACTCCCAAATACAAACAATTAAACAATAATTATTGACAATATTATATTAATTATTACTAGACCTAGGAATATAAGCACACAAAAAGTAGTTAAATATGCGCATATACAGTGTGTCTACTTAAGTTGGAACCATATGGAAAACATTTTTATTATTGATTTTAGGAAAAAAAGTTATTCTTGATAAAAAGTCCTGCATGACCCAAAACCTAAAATACAGTCATTACATATTAAATTTTTCGAGCCGTATACGAGGTTTGTCAAAAAATATGAATTTTGCTCAAGAGTAAAGTACGTTTATTTTTGACAAAATCGAAAATTTTCATTAAGAAAAGTTGATTAGAATTGAATATTACATTCAAATATGCAATTACACTGATCTATCTGAAAAAACAGATTTTCTTATTTTTTTATAAACTCTACACTCTACACATTGATTGTAAATATCTGAAAACGTTATAAATTACGTTAGCTACTATAAACATGATACGCTTTCCTTTTGTTGATGTTTGTGAAGAATTTAGCAAATTTCTTAATGAAAATTTTCGATTTTGTAAAAAAATAAACGTACTTTACTCTTGAGCAAAATTCATATTTTTTGACAAACCTCGTATACGGCTTGAAAAATTTGATATCTGATGACTGTATTTTAAGTTTTGGGTTATGCAGGACTTTTTATCAAGAATAACTTTTTTTCCTAAAATCAATAATACAAATGTTTTCCATATGGTTCCAACTTAAGTAGACACACTGTATATGCCGCAAAATACTTCAATATATGCGTAAAAAGTTGAAAAATATGCAGAGCATATGCAATAAGAGTAATTTGTTATTTGATCGAAATAGTTTATTCATATTTATTGTTTGTTTTATTTTACAATACCTAATATACTTAATAATTATTTAATTATTAACTAATTTTATTTACAAATCAACATTATTATAAAACGAATGAACAATTAGATGTTTTTCTAAATTATCTGTATTAAATGATTGTCTCCTATCAGTAAGTATGTACTTGTACAAAGAAAAACTCCTTTCGACATCTACAGAAGTAATAGGTGCAAACTTAAATTTTCCTGAAATATCTGGATGAATAGTATTAATATCTTCAAAGTTACCAGAATAAATATTAGCCAGCTTTCTTAAAACAATAAATCCTTCATTTTTTTTAAATTACATTTGAAAATTTATAAAAAATAGTCTTTCCAATATCGCCCTGGACATTTTTACACTCTGATTCAAACGTCTTAATTAAATTTACGGAAGTCACCAAAGGTAAATTTATTTGTTCTAAATCTAATATAATTTTGGGTACAAATGCATAATTTTTTAAAAACACTAAATGCTTTGGTAATATGTGATTTTGAAACAACTTCTTTGTATTAGATATTCCCTTAGATGAATCATCAAAATCAAATCAGCTTTAAGCCAGGTACCCCACCGAGTAATCACAGGTTCCGGTGGCATCTGTAATTCAGGAAATTTTTCTTTGTACAATTGAGTTCTTAGAGGAGATTTAAGAAATATTTTTTTACATTACTAATTAAATCATTTATTAAAGGAAAGTTAGACCTAATTTCTTCTGCAACTCTGTTAAGGCCATGAGCCAAACACGTAACATGGATTAAGTTTTCATAAAACATTTTTAAATTTTGTGCGGCTTTTACCATGTACGGGGCCGCATCGGATAACAGCAATAAACATTTTTCTGTTGGAACGGCTTCCGGATGAAAAAAGGAAGACAATTCTGTCTGGATAAAACGAGTTATATTGTCAAGTTATTTGTTTTATCTAATTGCTTTGAAGCAATTAGATATGGACCAATTTGTATTTCTTCGCGTAATGAACCTATCATTAAATGGGCTATATATCGACCACAAGAGTCTGTTGTTTCATCCACAATAATGTAGAAATGGTTTCCAACGGTAATCTCACGAATTTTTTCACGAGTCTCAATGTACAAACTGTCAACACCACGTTTGCGTAATATACTTTGCTCTGGAATATTAAATTTACAGTATTTTTGCAAAAATGATCGGAGATTTGGATTATTTAATCGTATTAAAGGGATATTCGAAGTCACTAAAGCTTTGCATAAATCTTCATTAAATATAGCTTGTTCACTTCTAGACGATCCAGATTCTAAATATTGTTTCAAGGGAAGTTGACTTTGTCTGCGAGTGTCTTTAGATTTCTGCTTTGCTATATGTGAGGGTGTTTTCGCGTGTTGGTCGATTTGAAACTTTTTTTTACATGGAATCTAAAACATAAATTCCTGTAGATGTTGAAGTTTTAATTAAATTAAATAAATGCGTACGTTGTAAAGTTGCCCTACTTTCTTTTAACTGTGAGTTGAAATAATATTTTACTGTCGTTTGATTTACCATTGTGAAAGGTCAAAACAAAATATAAAATAAAAAAGTACTCACAATTTTAGAACATGTTTTACAAAACACCTGGTTATCACCTTCTACAACAAAATCTGAATAAGATTTTACCCACGACTCAATTAATATTGTCATTTTTCCCACTGGTTAACACAACACAACAATAAAGACTGAAATGAAGTTGAAAGTAAACTGACAATGAGTCATTTAGAAATTTGAAGATATTAATACAACTACCTGAAAGGATATTTAGCAAAATTTGTTGGTTTAAGGAGGGTGTTTATAATTTAATCCTGTCAAGTACCTACACCATTAACCGTAATTTATTACAGGGAAAAGTTAATCCTTAAAAATTTTAGGAAATCGACTAAATAAGGCATTTCACAAAATATTATTTTGCCAAAACTCATAATTTTAATATGTCCAGCCAATTAGTACGTCAGATATATGCCAAAAAATTAACAAAATGTCAATATATGCATTCAAAATCAAAAATTGTATATATATGCAACATATGCAAAATATGGCGTTTTGCATATATTCCTAGCTCTAATTATTACAACAAATACTGATAATGGATCCCACTGACCATTGACATTGACCAATGACAAATGACACCAGTCTTTCCGCCATCAATTGCAGGTTTCTGTAAATTGTGTGTATATATAGCACCACGAGTGGTAATTCTTTAAAACCAAAACATGGTGTTCAGGTTTCAGTTCGGGCTATACCAGTTAACGATATTAACTAATCTATGGATCATACTATTGTATGCTGCTAACTTGTATTTATATGGATGAGGTGACTGTGCCGGTTTAAGCTACTTTTGCGCCCGGTGCTACATAACCGTCGCCCCTCTACGCATAAGTAATAAAATATATAAGAGTCAATTTTTTTCAATCTCAAGAGCGAGAATATTTTCTTTCTGTTATTATAAGTGTAAATGTATAAAAAAACTCGTTTTTAAATGTGAAACAAAAAAAATCTCCTAGAAACAACTATTTTTGGGAATACACAACGTTTCTAAAAATAAAACAAATATATCATTTCATGAAAAACATTATTTCATTTATAATAAAAAAGCAGAACTAAAACCAAACAATGCAAAACTAAAAATCAAACAAAACAATATTTTAAGGGCTCCTTATTCTGACGCAACTATGTCCTAGTTGTTTACATTTATCGCACAGCTCTTTCTTATGACTTTTATCCTTATCAAAAACGGCAGGACGACTGCGCTTTTTTAAAGGTCTCTGTAAACAAAATTATATCGATTAAATAAACAATTTTGCTAAGTAAAAAGATCAAATGTTAAATAAAAACTTTTTAATAATTATAAATTTAAATAATATATGATTTATAATACAGAAATAACAATAATTCTATTTAAATAAGGCAATCTGAAAAGAGCAAATAGGATCAATTAATTAAGCAAGGCAGAAGAATAGCGATTGCGAGAAGGCGTTAAACATAAAATAGTAGTTTGTACAACAAGAGTGGATATGGACAATCCACTCGAGTTGTACAGCATATTTTTTCTACAAAGATTATTAAATACATTAAAGTGCGATATTTTTTTCTTCTAAATATAATGCTTTATGTTCCCTAGGTAGTTTACGCGTACTGGTGCTTGTAATATTTTCTAATGCACTCACCATTATTATATAACTGTAAAATTATAATTGTATATATTAATACAAAAATCTGAATCAATTAAAATAGAAACGATACGGCTATAAATAAAGTCTGACTTATCTATCAAAAGAAAAGGTTTATTACAATAGAAACCATGAAATCATGATTAAATCTAAACGAAAACTTTTATTAGGCCGATCAGATGTATTAAAATTTTTAAGCTATTGCATAGCTTTTATCGCGGGCTTTGAGCGCGGCGACCGAATCAAGAAATTCCGTAACGGCCGTCACGAAAAAAAACCTAATACCCCCACTCCGACCGGCACAGCGGTGCGGCGTTAAACAATATTAACTTCTCATGTATTCAATAAAAGAAAATCCAAAAATCCAAAAATCGAAAAATCGAAAGACCGAAAAATCGAAAGACCGAAAAATCTAAAAATCGAAAAATCGAAAAACCGAAAAAACGAAAAACCGAAAAATCGAGAAATCGAAAAAATCGAAAAAATCGAAAAAATGGAAAAATCGAAAAACCGAAAAATCTAAAAATCGAAAAAGAAATTCCGTAACGAAAATAAACCTAACATCCCCCATTTCGACCGGCACAGCGGTGCGGCGTTGAAAGCCATGCATCGTCTAACGTCGTTTCAGTTCGGCAGACTTCGGCACGGTGTTTGTGTGCGTGCGACTAGACGTATGCGTGTAGACTAGCTGCTAACTGCTCATAACTGATTCTATCTCTTTCTTTTAGACACAATTTCGGAAAAATTGAATTAGAAACTGAATAATGATCCACAAGAATCCACAACAAAATATGGGACCACCATTGGCGCGGTATTTTCCAGATATTTAGAGGATATCAAGTCTTAAACTTATGTTTCTTATTTCAGTTACCATAAAGCTATAGTTTCAATGATAAAAATTCCTGAATAACCGACATGTATTGTAAGATAATAAAAATATTTTAAACAATATTAACTTCTCATTTATTCAATAAAAAAAAAAAATTGTTTTCTTATGGGTCACCACGCTCAAAAAATGTAACTTAAATTAATATCAAAGAAAAAACTTGAGTTAATATCAAAGAAAAAATAAATAATTATAATTGCATAAGTTGATAAAAAATGCTATGCAATAGCTTTACCGCGGCAGTCCCCGAGTGCCACACGTATTTTTTTATTTTACCTAGAAATAAGCATTGAAGAATGAGGTATAAATAAAATGTCTACCTCTTGAACTACTACGTTTTTCAAATTAGATTCCTCCTTTCTTCTCTAGACTATAGTTTTATTAAAATTATCGAATTATTTATAATGACGAAATAAAAATAGAAATGCTATTATTTATCACATAAGAATAATTCATTTTAATGTATCATTTTATCTCCATGACTAAAAAATATACTGACAATAGACCTTTTCATCATGTGATGAGCGCAAGTGGTAATTCAAAACTTTCGTACTGTTTTGATCGACAATGGCTGGGAAAGCAATATTATCTCTACAGAAAAATTAATCAATAGAAAAAAATCGTTGATGGTAATTAACTTTTTTATAACTCTGTGAAAGCGCATAGTTGTAAGCAGATGAGAAGGTGGTTGAAGTGTCTTGGATGTTTGCTACAAAGGAAAAAGTGGACTGATTGAGAGGTTAGGTGTATCAATACTTCTTAACTGTTAAAAAATTTATGAAAACAAATAATAATTAAAACTCTATTCTAATTAATTATGCCAACCATTTATTAGTACTTGCAAAAACACTTTAATTAACATGATAGTTAAATACGACTATAATTACTGAGGCCCTTCCTATGGGGCCTCAGTATTGCATTCGTGCACACGAAAAAATTTTCTGACCCCCATTTTTTAAAACTTTTTTTCATGTTTCTGATCATTCTAAATCCGAAAATCCAAAAAAAAATGTTCGTCTGGTCGTCTGTATGTATGCCGGCACGATAACTCTTGAACGAAAGTTCTGATTGACTTGCGGTTTTGAATTTCTTGAATAATTACTTCTAACTTAGAACCCTATTGATTTTCAGAAATTTCGGTTCATCCTAACTACTTTAATAACAATTTTATTAAAATCCGCCTATGCATTCCTTATGTGAAAAATTTTAGGAATTTCAATTATTTCTAACGTCAAAATTCCTAACATTCTTCACATTCCATAAATTGCAAACATTCTCTAACGACCTGTAAAACAACAGCTGTTGATAGTAAAGGTGAAATTTCTAAGGCGGGTTGCGACCTTCATACTTGCAACCATATAGCCATTTTGGAGGCTATTTTCATTCGAAATTAGTCGCCAAGCTTGCCAATTTATGACAAATATTAAAGCAGTTTCTTAAAAATTACTTTTTATGGTGGTGCTATTAAGCGTACTACTATTTCGCCCCTAGCCACAAAAACACCTTCATCAAATTTCTCTGTCGCAACCCCATAGACAGCAGCAAGTATTTATTAAAGGGGTTACTTCAGACTATCTATCATTAAGGTCAGGTGTTCCACAAGGCTCCATACTGGGACCAATATTATTTAGTATCTATACTTCTCATCTTTTGGATAAAATACAAAACTGCAGTGTCCACTTGTACACTGACGACACTCAATTTTATTATAGTTTTAAGTCACATGAACTGGAAAACGCTTGTATTGTTATAAATGAGGATTTAAAAAGATTTATCGATTGTGCAACTGATCATTGTCTGCTTATTAATACAACAAAGTCCAAAGTTATGATATTTGGTAACAAAAATTATAGGCAACAACTGCTAAATTCGATAAATATTGTTATTAATAATAATGAATTAGAAGTAGTAAATGAAGCAAAAAACTTAGGTGTTTTTCTGGACTCGGAACTAAGATTTGAGAGGCATGTAAATAAGTTATTGCAACGCGCTTACTATAATATTAAGATGATTTATGGGAATCGTCATTTATTTCCTATTCACATTAAAAAACAGCTCTGTGATACACTAGTACTATCCTTATTTAATTATGCAGATGTATTGTATGGGCCCAATTTAACTCTTAATTACAAAAATAAAGTGCAAAGAGTGCAAAATTCTTGTTTACGTATGATTTTTGGTATACGAAGACATCAAAGAATATCTCATAAATTAAAAGAAATACGTTGGTTAAATATGGAGAACAGAAGAAAGCATCACTTTCTCACTTTATGTCATAAGCTACTTGTGAACAAGAAGCCCTCTTACCTACATCGCAAAATTAGCTACCGTTCAGATGTCCATAATATAAATGTAAGGAACAGAGGATTACTGACTGTTCCCTTTTTTACGACGGAACTTTTCAGACGGTCATTTAGTTACCTCATCTCTTACTTTTATAATAAAATATTACCAGAATTCAAGAATTATAGTATTTTTAAATTTAAGACAGCCCTTAAAATACACATTTTTGAAAATCAAATTTAAGTAACAATTTTCCTCACTGCATACATATTGTTGTTTATTGTATCGCTACGTATTTGTACTTCCCTCTTTCATTGGTCGTTGTTTTTGATATTTTTTTTTGCCCTACTTAGTTATGTTTTTTTTTTTTTTTATTGGATTCAGCCTTCCTGAGACAAGTGCATTTTCATTTGTTTGTTAAATGTTAAAATTACAGTTGTTTATTTATTTGATATAGTTATATGGTATATATATTTTGTCTTTGATTGTTTATTTCTGCTCTATTGCTCTATGGTTATATGCAGGTTTACTCGCGGGTTAAGTGGAAGAATATTTTTTGTTGTGTCTAGTGCACAACCAAAAATAAACTTCGCCCGTGTATATATGTATTATTTTATTGTATTTACTTTAAATTAATGGAAATAAAGACGATTATTAATATTATTATTATAATTAACCGGCCATTTTATTTGGCAAAAATCAAAATAATGCTTGGCTGTGCCTGTCAAGTATCAAGATGTCAACTGTGATATGTGAATGGCTCTTAAATGTCAAATTATTTAAAAATGTATGCTTCTTTTGATATCAAAATTAGTTTAAAGGCTGTAATTGGTTGCTAAATGATTATATACTTGATGCATGTTGTCTACTTACTCTAGAAATATATTTATAAAAGTTTAAAAACAATGTACAGGGTGGTCCACCGGTAACGCCTCGGTCTGTATATCCAAAACTAAACTTTTTTAAAAAATCGTTTTTCACGGTGGGATGTATATCAGAAAAGGCAACAATTTAAAAATAATTTCAATAATACAGGGTGCTCCAGGAAATTGGAATATATCAAAGTTAGGTATTTTTAATCGGGACACCCTATATTTTATTGCATTTTTGAAATCTACAAAGAAAATTAGTCTAACTTTGTTAAGGGGTTGTTATACCTAGAGTCTATCATTTTTGATATATTCGAGGATTTTCAAAATTTTGGGGCGTTTAAAAACTGCAAATATATCCTTTCTTAATATTTCAAAGTGATTTTTTTTAAGGTACATTAAGCGTCTTCTGGGCTATAACCTCAAATACTTACTGATCAAAAATATCGTATAGGGTGTTTACGAAATAGATATTTATTTTACGTAGATTTAAACACCAAACACTTCGTTATTTTAAATAGAAAACCCAGTATATTTTAACATTATTAGAAATATCTTTCGAAACCCTTTCAAACAATATACATAGGTATCCCCTATACCTATATGTATGTTGTTGTTGTAGAGAATAGTCTAGTTCTTATAATTTATGTAAATAATTTATTAAATTTAGTTAATCAAGGTGTCTGGGCATTGATTGTCAATTTATGTCATTTTAATTTAAACTGTTTCCAATAGGTATTATTTTGTGTTTTGTGCAATGTTATTATTAAAATGAAGCAATATTCTATGCAAGAAATGGTGGATATGATTCTCACCATAGGTGAGTGTTATGAAAACTGTTTTTTAGCAACACGGGTTTATGCCCAAAAGTATCCAGACAGAAATCAACCAGATAAGAGAACTTTTGAAAGAGTTTTAGAACGTTTTCGTACAACAGGCAGTGTTGCATATTCAAAAAAAACTGTGAGTAAACCCGTAGTTGATAATGAAGACAACGAATTTCTAGTATTAGGTTCAGTAACGGAGAATCCTCACATTAGCACCAGGGAAATTTCGAGGCAAATGGATATACCTAGAACCAGTGTAATGAGAATTCTCAAGAAACACCGATTCCACCCTTACCATATCCAATTTCATCAACATTTATATGGTACCGATTTTCAACGACGCATAGATTTTAGTTTATGGGCGCTAGAACAGGTAGGAGAAAATAGAGACTTATTCGATTTTGTTTTATTTACAGACGAATCCACTTTCCATGACAATGGCTTAGTAAATCGCAATAATTTCCATTACTATGATACAGAAAATCGGCACCTATTTAGAACTATTGACCGACAAAACAGATGGAGCATAAATGTTTATGGGGGGATTATTGGAGAGAAAGTTATAGGCCCATATTTTTTTAATAGTCATCTAAATGGAAATAATTTTTTGAGGTTCCTTCGTTCAGATTTTTGGCTGCTTATCGAAGATATACCATTGAACGTACGGCAACAAATGTGGCTACAATTAGCTGGTGCTCCTTCTCATTTTGCGCGGGACGTGAGAAATTACTTAGACCGGAAATTTCCTAATAAATGAATATGAAGAGGAGGTCCATGCGCCATTGGCCACCTAGATCACCCTGTTTAACACCCCCAGACTTTTTTTATGGGGTTACATAAAAAGTCTTGTATACAATACCACAGCAACCACGCCAGAAGATATGAAGGAACGAATTTGCAACTATTACGCCGGATATGCTAAAAAGAGTAAGAAATTCGTTTGAACGAAAGATCACAATGTGTACTCAAGAAGACGGTCATCATTTTGAACATCTATTAAATTAATTTATTATCTTGTATTATTTTTTAATTCGTGTTTCAAAAAAAAAAAAATGTAACAATGTTAGTAAAACTATCACAGATAGGTATAGGGAATACCTACATCGTTTGAAAGGGTTTCGAAAGATACTTCAAATAACGTTAAAATATATTTGGTGTTCTATTTAAAATAACGAAGTTTTTAGTGTTTAAATCTACGTATAATAAATATGCATTTCGTAAACACCCTATACGAGGCTAAGCAAGGTACAAAGACTTGCCTGCCTCGGAATAACGGGGGTAATGAAAACAACCCCCACTGCTGCAATGGAAGCACTAATAGGACTCCCACCTCTTTACTATGTGATACAAGGGGAGGCAAGATTAGGTGCTTACAGATTAGGGAATACACTGGGAAATCTTGACATTAGGCCAGGTCACATGAGTATCTCAAGGTTAGTGACAGGAGACGTGCTAGACATGAGATCAGACCACATAACCCAGAGGTACTCTTTTAATACTCCCTTTGAGGTTTTAATACAGGAAAGAGCGGAGATCACCATAAGCCCAATGCCCAACGACAGGAACAAACCTGGTATACAGACGGGTCTAAGACTGCGGAAGGCACTGGGGCAGGAGTATTCTCCAAAAACCCTGATACTAACCATAGCTATGCTATAGGAATACATTCCTCGGTATTTCAGGCCGAGGTATACGCAATTTTGCAATGTGCAAAAACGAACAATGAAAGAGCTGTCGAAAATCAGCATATTCAAATAATGTCAGACAGCCAAGCGGCACTTAAGGCCATATCGAGTCAGAAAGTTACGTCGAGGCTGGTATGGGAATGCATCGAAGAACTAAGAACACTGGCAGACCGAAATAGAGTAAAACTATTTTGGGTGCCAGGTCACAAAGGGATCGAAGGCAACGAAAAGGCTGACGAACTTGCAAAAAGAGGGTCAGAAGAAACACCGGAACCAGACACAAACCCAGGAGTACCAAAAAGTACAGTCCGGGGTTTTATAAATGACTGGATTCGGGAACAACATATCAACTATTGGGGAAGCACCCCAAAACAGGCACATGGAAAAGCCTTCATAGGCAGACCATGTCCCAAAAGAACTGGAGAACTACTCTTAATGCATAGGAACCAGTTGAAAGTGATAACAGGGGTCATGACTGGGCACGCCCCAGTAAAGGGACACTTGAACAAAATTGGCATGTACAATGAGGAACTCATGTGCCGACTATGTCACAAGAAACCAGAAACGGCCAAACACATACTGTGCGAATGCGAAGCTCTAGATCGCAAAAGACAGGCTCTTTTTGGACAACCCCAGGTTGATCCAACAACGTATAGAACCCACTCACCCAAGGATCTGTACAAACTTGTACAAGGTACAAAGGTGATAGAGTGGGTGCTATGAACTAACATGGGGTAAAACACAATAAGCCAATAGGCTTCAGTGTTATTCGGAGACACATAGTCAGACGAGCCCAGGAAAAAAAAACACCCTATATTATTTTTGATCAGTAAGTATTTGAGGTTACAGCCCAGAAGACGCCTAATGTACCTTAAAAAAATCAATTTGAAATATTAAGAAATGTAGGATATATTTGCATTTTTTAAACACCCGAAAATTTTGAAAATCCTCGAATATATCAAAAATGATAAACTCTAGGTATAACAACCCCTTAACAAAGTTACACTGATTTTCTTTATAGATTTCAAAAATTCAATAAAATATAGGGTGTCCCGATTAAAAAACCTAACTTTGATATATTCCAATTTCCTGGAGCACCCTGTATTATTGAAATTATTTTTAAATTGTTGCCTTTTCTAATATACATCTCACTGTAAAAACCGATTTTTTAAAAAAAGTTTAGTTTCGGATATACAGACCGAGGCGTTACCGGTGGACCACCCTGTATAATTTAGATAAACAAAACGAACCAAACGCACTCAAAAAGAAAACAAATAATATCACTGTAATTGTCAGTGTAACCATAATTATGTCATCACTAATTTAGCATATTTCCAAGAATTAGTGATAGAACGATATCGGCCGATACCGATATTTACGTGCCGATATACCGATATATCGTATCGGCAAACATAACACCTTTTATTTATACACGACCGAAGCAAAAACCGGGGAAGTCCCGTTTTATAATTTCGTTGCGAGGAAATGTTTGTGATGTCACATTCACTGATGTGATTGATAGTGAGTGAAATTTCGGATTTCGGGGGAAGCCTCTTATATTCTGTAGTGCTTTAAAACACGGCGTTTTAACCTTGACTGTTAATTAGAGGAGATAAAATAAATAATAAATAAAAATATTCTATTTAAATGAGAAAAGTAACAGCTGTTCGGTGAGGTGTGGAGCACTTTGCTCCAGTGACAAGTGAAAAGCAGTGACAAAACCTGCTACTGTTAAATATCAACCCATCTCCCATCTCTAGTTCGCGCAGGTTTGTGCGTTTGTGGTTCGGTTGACTGTGTACAATAATATTACCTATTTTGTATTTATGGAATTTGTCCATTTAACTATCAATATAGTCTGAAATTAATTAATGTTCGAATGTCGTTGAACATAGAAAAATAAAAACCGTTGAAAACAAAAAACACAAATAACTGTTAAAAAGACTTACTTGAAGGAAAGGAAATACGTTAATACGACATTCCATACATTCCTGTCCCATATTAGCCCAAGAATAAGCTGACATCCAGTTTTTATTGCACTGTGGACATTTGTAATGACCAAAACATCTTTTCTTGCCTTGATAAGGTGTTTTACCTTGGCGTTTTGGCTGATCCTGAAACAAAATATTGATTTTTTTAATTTATGAATAACAAGTGAATACTTACATACCTTTTCATTAGCAGGCATATTACCGGTATTTTTCTAAAAACACGTAAACAGCAAACAATTGTTTATTAGAATGGGAACCGAACTTATCACTATCAGTGACTTACACAACACGACGAACTTTTAAGCGCCATCTTTTGTTTGGATATCCAATTATCCAACTGTCAACTGTTATACTCGCCCAATGCTATATATAGTAATATAGATTGCTCGCATGAATGAAAATTGGAAAAGCAGGTAGCCATGGAGGTAGAAGCCGAGAATACCGATCAAGGAGAAGCGACAGCTTGGTGTTTTCAGTGTACCGTTTTGTAACGCGCATGTGCGAAAATAAGTTGTGTATCACTCAAAATTATGCTATCTATCAAAGTCAGTCCAAGTTGTATTTAGTACGTGAGCAATGTTAAGTGATATTTTTTGGTGTTTGTTTTGTGTAGTAATAAGATGAAGATTTTTACACACTTAGGTATTCTAATACAGACATAAAATGTGCCAAAAAAGTTATTATAAAACTAAGAATTTAATCACATGCATAAATATTAAGTATGATGATTTAATCATTTTTGACATTTTATTTTTCATATGTAGGTATTGTATTTTGTGAAATATATGTTTTTCTTCTTTTAAATAAATTTAATAAACAATGAACTGCAGATTTTGTTTATTTTATTTTGAAATTATATTTAAGAAAATATAATAAATTCGCGTATTTCAATTAGGATTGGTCAAAGTGGGCAAAATCCCTTTATTATGGCTAAATTGTAAGTTACAATTATGTCAATATAAAGATGTTTTGCCCATTCATATTTACATTTATTGAATGAATCATACTGGAGTTGATTTTAAAAATATTGGTGCATACTTAAATAAGTACTATTTCTAAAAATTCGTCTATGCACACATAGTCCAATGGACGTCCACTTTAGATCTATTTGAGGGTCAGGACTCCATATCCGGGCATCCAGTGTACGTCCGTTTATGCTAATTAAATTGACAGCTGAATATCGATACCCAGAAAACGTCTGTTTTTGGACTTAATTTTAAGTTCAGTAGTATTTTGACGTCCAGTGGACGTCCATCTTAGGTCATTATTTATTAAGCCTACCAGATAATACCCATCTATATATACTTTTTTTTTTATTATAACTGGTCATTAAAAATTGAAAAATTGAATCTATTGCATTTCATTCTATCAGCGGAAGTTTGAAATCTTATTCAATTATAACTGTATCTAGTAAACAGTTTTCAAGTGGTTCCTCGGTCGAGCTCGTCTAGCGGTTGAAAGCGTAAAAAAAATGGATGTGTCGTGAGTTCGATTCCTGCTCAGGTTAAGCGATTTTTAATAAAAAATAAATAAATGGTGTATAGCGATTTGCGAAAATAATAAACAAATTATTAATAATATAAAATAGTGTGTGGTGAGTTGCAGTTCTGTAAAAAAGTGGGGATGTGGTCTCAATGGAAATATAATCCTGGACGTTTTTTGAATGTCCAGTATTCGACGTCCAAATATATTCCAGAATTGGACGTCCTCTGAATGGTCAAAAGATTTGTATACTTCACTGGACGTCCATTGGATGTCGGAAGTCCAGAAAACTCATTTTTAGACGTCTAGACATCCAAAATTGTATATCGAATGGACGTCCAATGGACATATTTGTATTGTCAGGCCAGGTATTTAACTCTAAATACATAAACCTTAAATAACATCTGGTTTAACTTGGCGAGAAAACACTTGTTTCTACAGAAATAAGTGATAAACTTGAAAGTCCTTTTAATATAATATAAATCTAGAAATTCTAAAAATATGTAAGTACTTTTTAAGCTTAAAAGCTTTGAAAATATATGCACATTGCAAATATTTAGTTAAACCTCTCAAACTTTTTGTCTTTTTAATTGTTACCTAAATTTTTTTTGACACCCTTAATTTTATTTACCTTATTTTTAGTTAAGGAAAAGGTAATTTAATTTAAATATGGGGCTTTTATTACATTTTTAACAATACATAAACCAAATATTAAACAAATTTTATAGATAAATTATAAAATAATAAACGTCTTTTACTTTTATAATAAATAATTAATTATTACATAATGAATTATATTTTGGTGCCGAAATTTCAGCATTGCTATTAACCCTAACTACTTCAATGTAATTAAAACACATTGTAACATTTGCGCATGGACTATAACAATAATTTCAGATAATTTGCCAAACTATTTCGCTCAGTGTAGAAAATAAGCATGTTTTCTCATCGTGCTAAGTTGTGTATCAGTCTTAGATTATACAAACCTTAGATGGAAAAGAGATGGAACATAAAACACTGCGCATAATCCCATTTCGAAATTATTCACACCCACCAATCATAGTTGAGAACATCACATGTCAGAGCGTTGTCCATCCAAATTTAATGTGTCAACGAGAATTCATTTGGTATTTTAGTGACTTAAATTTTGGAAATTAACGTTTAAAATGCCAAGATGTGTTGTAGAGAGCTTTATTTATAATAAAAGTGCGAAATGTGACGGAGATAAAAGAAACTTATATTTATTTCGGTGAGATATTTAATTTTTAAAGATTCTGTCGACGTCCATATTTGTTGATTTGAAAATAAACAGAATCGGACTTGGTCATTGGTACATGTTATAAGTAGCAAATAAAGGTTATTTTTATAAACTGTTTACTATTTCTTGTTTCATGGTGAATCTGTTTTCAGGAAGTGGAAAGAGAAACATACAATCAAATACAAAAATATCAATTTCATTGCCAATTTATTCGTTTCAAACTTCACAACTGGTTTCAAAACTATTTATTTAGTATTTCTCTATAACAGGGTTACTCAAAGTGTGCTACGTGGAGCGCAAAGCCTTTGTGAGGACTCCGCGAAGAAAATAATCACAATAAAAAAAAAAACAGTACTATCGCCACAAAATGGAGGGACCTGGCTTGAGAACCTTTTTTTTGAGAAGTAATTTTTTTAAGTCACTAAGAGGAAGGAGGATATGATTTTGCTTCAGGACTTTTATTTTATTTTTATGGGTGAAATGGATTTGGGATAATTCTTGCAAGGAATCTTTGGAATTAATCAAAAATAAATTAACAACAAATTATGTTCTTATGCATTTTCAGCCTGAGTTGTCAATTAACTTAATCGTAGATGCATCAAATGTCATGTTTTTAAAAAAAATATTGAGAAATCTATAGCTTCTGCATCGCGTACCTTATCAAAGTCAGAACAAAAATATTCCCAAATTGAAAGAGAGGGCCTTCCAATAATTTTTGGCTTAAATAAATTTAATGAATATTCATATAGACATTTATTCATCCTAGTTACAGATTACTTACCTCTGGTAACTATTTTTAACCCAGCTAAAGGTATACCCCAATTTTCAGCCAACAGACTACGTAGATGGGCAGTAATATTGTCAAATTACAATTATAAAATTGAATAATATGTAAAATCGGAGCATAATATGAAGCCGATTTTTTATCACGTTTACCTTGAAAGTCAAAATGAGAGTCAAATTGAAGAAAAAAATTTGAAAAATATTTTTTAAATTATGTGTTTAATTTGTTGAGGGCCCCGTTAAATATTTCGCTTTTCAAAAAGGTTCCGTCCCCAAAAAAGTTTGAGAAACACTGCTCTATAATAATATGGGATCTATCCATTTAATTACATTTTATTTTCTCTAATTTTGACATATAAAGTAATATATTTTATAAAGTAGAACATTATGCAACTGATTACGAAAAGTTGATTATGTCACCAGTTACGAAATGAAAATAAATAAAACTGCCTCTTTTTTGGTTTTTAAGTCGAAAAATCGAGAAATCGAGTAATCGAAAAATCTAAAAATCGAAAAATAAAAAATCGAAAAATCCAAAAAACCAAAAATCGAAAAAACCAAATATCGAAAAAAAGGCCGAACACCGTTATTGAAAACTGCCCAGAAATGTTGGGGGTAAAATTTTGACGTACTCCTTTAAGGATAATGGGTAAAAATGTTTTTTTTTTCAAACTTCTCGCGGGTAATGTCAAAAATCAGATCGACAACACTGCACATGTTCCTTATTTTTATTATTATTAAAAAAAAAAAAACGTCGTAGGGCAATCAAATACAACAATTTTCTGAAATATTTGATTGGAAGTACCTACAAAAGAATGCTGGTGAATTATTTTTCAACACAATTTTATAAATAATCAAGGTAAAATTAGAAAAAATCTTGTATGTAAACACGTTGCCAAATGCCGTTTTGTGTAACTCGTTCATTTTGCAGGACCTCGCTCCGCTCGTCCCGCAAATATTTACTCGATACACAAAATAAGGCATTTCGTAACTGGTTACATACATAGCTATTAATTGACTTCCTAATATTTTAAATCATTGAACGGTATTTTCCGTAAATAATTAAATCATAAATAATTACCGGCATATAAGTACCAAAACATTTTTTTTTTCTTCGAAGAATAGGCTTATGTCAAATAAACTTAAAATATAACGAACGAAAAGGTAACCCATTTCTAATAAAATTTAATTATTTATTTTATTTTGGTGTGATCGTAGAAAAAATCTTGTGTGTAATTCGGCAAAAAGTACTTTGGCTGTTTCGATAACTTTTTATCTCAACAGGTATTTTGTTACAATAATTTTATAAACTTCTACTTAGGGTCGATTTCACGGTTTTGTTAAACGAAGTTTAAAATACTAAACGAAGATTAAAATGACATTTTTATATTAACAAAAATAAAGTTTAAATTACTAAATGGAGTTTAAAATGACATTTTTACATTAACAATGTCATTTTAATCTTCACTTAGTAATTTAAACTTCGTTTGACACAACGGTGGAATCGCCCCTTAGCTAGTTATATATTGATAAAGTGTTATTGCCCTCATCATAAATGAATCGTGCTGACAAATAAAGTCAAAAAAACGTGTTATAATTTTTCATCTTTTAGTTACCTACCAAAATTAGGTACTACAATACAAATATTTAAGTCCGGCCCAGAACATCTCCCTACTCCTTCCACCCAGTTTTTCGGTTTTGGCAAAATTCGCGCAGTGACAAATGCTTCCTATGTTACCTCTACCCTTTCTAACCTCTTTGGTATCAGTCAAAGTCATACTGTGAAAAAGGTACATCCGATATCAAAGGCACCGACAGCTACTGTCGCTTCTCCTTGATCGGTATTCTCGGGTAGAAGGTGGTAGGGAGACGCATTTGCTCAGTGCAAAGTCATGATACCCACTAAACATGAAACATTACCAGTCTTTTTTGTAACGTTTCTCATAGAGACTTTTCCTGATATATTTTTAAAACGATACCAAAATATTCCATAGATGTTTAAATTTTAACATCATATTCATTAACATTCCTGGCATATCTACTGATGAAACTTTATGTACGCTGGAATACTTGAATTAGCAGTTACATAAACAGCTTTTGTACTTTTTTTTAGTTACTTCCTGTGACAAACATTTATACGATGGTAATTTAGTCACAATAATATCGCATACAGGTCAGCACAGTAATGTGTACAAGTTACACATCTTTAAGATGGCTATCTTAAGGGTGTGATTACAGAACGTCTGCAACTTTGCAGACCTGAAAATATGGCGGCAACTTTGCAGATCTGCAACTGTGGCGGACTTACAGATGCAAGTATCAAGTTTTCGTATTCCAAAAAATATCTGCATATTCGCAATATTTATTGTGGTTTATTACCCCCAACAACACTAAACCCAAATCCACCCTTAAGTACCCAGACAGCACACCAAATCCTTTGGATATCTACTGAACATCCCAATATCCACTGAATGTCCAGTCCATGGTAGATATCTATTTTATATCCATGAAATGTAATTTATTGACATGCAAATGTCCATAAATAATAGTAATTATATAGCAAATTATTAAAAAATTACGCCATTGTGCTCGCCATTGTGGCTAATAGTACCGTTCAGATATTTAAAATTAATTTTTTTTAAGGTGTATTCAATATCCCATGAACATCCACTAAATATGTCAAAGTCTAGGCGTGAACGCAAACCCATGGAGGAAAGATTATTACGCAAACCATCGTGGATATCCACTAGATGTTATTTGATTCTGCCTACTAAGTATAGATGGCGATACCACTATCGCATCTACTCATGCTCGACCCGCCGTAATTGAGTTTGATCGAAATGTGTGTCCTAATCACTCCATTAGAGACTGGAGTCGAGAATTTTCATTTATTGCGGAAGAGTCCTAATAAGGATGACTTTCTCCTTAGTGGGCAAAATCAAAGGCAGAGTGTTGAAAATATTTTTTATCTCTGCTATTTTCTTTCGACGTTATTCAATAATCATTGGTTACTTATGAACCTCTACTAAAGATACCCATAAAATATTTTGCTGAATATCCGAATATCTTCTATATCCTGGGATATAGACGGACATTTGGTTGGATATCCATATTAGATATATTGAATATCCACAAAATATATTCTGTGGATATCTCTGTGATTTCTTGTATTTTCTGGAAGATACCCATTAGATATTTTGCTGAATATCCATTAGGATATCTTTTAAGAGAAAATTCTCCACCAATTTTGGTGAATTCGATTTCAAGAATACGAATTTTTACAAAGGAGTAGAAAGTGAGAATTTTCTCTCAATATTTCTCACTCCCCGATTTCAAGAATAGACACCCAGGGGTAGAATTCTCGAGTCTCGCATGAAAATTGTCGCACACGGCAAATGTCGCATACCAAATTCGCATGGTTGTTAAAAATCGTATTCTCAAAAATGAGTGAATCTATAAAATCACAAGCGAGAAATAATGCGAAGGATTTTATGTGGCAACGTAGCAAATTATGTCATCTATCAACATTAGTAGATGTTCTGTTTATTTATTAGAGCCCCTCTATGCTAAGAAATTTAGACAATTTTGAAGCAATTAGCAGAATGTCCATAGAATGTCTTTTTAAACTGCGATTTTTTTTTATAAATATGAAAGAGCACCAATATTGCAATGCAAATCAGAAAATGAAATATTAAAATATGTCACGAAAACATCTTGCTGATACTCTACTTGGGGGCGTTATAACATGCTAGTTACAATATCTATAAAGACCGCGTTGATTCCTTACACAGTTTTACTCAAAGTGTGCTCCGCGGAGCCCCGGGGCTCCGCAAAGCCTTTGTGGGTGCTCCACGAAGAAAATAATAGTCATAATAAAAAAAAAACAAGAAGCAGTACTATCGCCACAAAAGAGAGGGACGTGGCTTGAGGACTTTTTTTTTAGAAATGTGTCGCCAAAAAAGTTTGAGAAACACGAAACACTTCCTTATAAAGTCGAAAATGCTTGATAAATAACACATCATTAATTTAAAAGGGATTTTTATAGACAAACTTCTTCCTTCTATGCTGTCACTCTTTAATAACGTTTTGATTTTCAACAGCCAGCAAATGTTAATTTCATCAAAATCTGCCACATCCATATTTACGGTCCACAAAGTCGCATACGAATTTAAATTCGAGCACTTTAGACCACTCGTGTTGAATTCACCTGACATTTGTCGTATGCTGTTTTCGAGAATACACTTTTTTTAAATCACCTATAATAGCTATTCGACATTTCACTAATCTCGCATGCGAATCGAGGTATTCGACATTCGAGAATACTACCCCAGGGATACAAATTCAGGATACGCAGAAGACTACTGTTTTATTATAGGCGGTTGTCATATATTGTATTATACGAGTTGCGCAGTGTATAAACTGGAACATGAGATCAAAAGTGCCGACGCAGAGTGAGCGATCTGATTCTTTAGCTATAAACTGTGACATAGGAATCAAAATAGGCGCGCCCTATGTTGGGCGTGTCGGACCTCTCTCTTGCACCGTATAGTAATCAAAGTATGTGCACTCGACACTGTATTCGAATTGTCATACTTGTCAAAAGTATATGCTACAGTCACAGTTTATAGCTTAAAAGAATCAGTTCGCTCACAAGACAAGTATTACAAATTAAAAATTTAAAAAAACCGACTTCAAAAACGTGCAGATGCCATCACCACATTTAAACCAAATTTATATGGGACCACCCCTGAGGTACCCCCTTACTAACAAAAAAGAATCGTATAAATCGGACAAGGTGGTAAAGCATTATCGCTAAACATACATAAAAAATGAAGACTTTGAGGATTTTCTCATGGACCCAATTATTAGATTTTGACTAAATTTATATGGGACCACCCCTGAAATACCCCCTTTCTAACAAAAAAAGAATCATTGAAATCGGACACCGTGTTTAAGAATAATCGCTGAACATACATAAAAAAAAATATCGCGACGAATTGATAACCTCCTCCTTTTTTGAAGTCGGTTAATAACATCCACTCCAGGGATACAAATTCAGGATGCGCAGAAGACTGCTGTTTGAATATAGGCAGTTGTCATATATTGTATTAGGCATTCCAAACAAATGAACTGCCAGTGGGAAGATTTGATATATCCAAGGGTTGCGACATACGATATATTCTGTTTACAACACGTAAAATCACGAATAATGGATTACATTTGAATATTTTATGTCAAACACAATAAACATAAGATACATTTTTTCATAAATTGGCAGGCTTTGTGACTATTATTTCGAATAAAAAAACACGTTCAAGATGCAAGACTATGTCTCTACCCCTTAGATATACCAGACCTTATCACTGACAGCTATTGTTTGACAGATCGTTGGAATGCTTAATTGGTAATAGTAAGAGAGCCCACTGCAAATTACGACCACCATCTGATAACAAAATGAAATATGCTCCAAAGACATGTAACAACATTGTACTTTACCAAATTGCACCTGTGCCAATCTGCAATCCAGAGCAAAGTGGTTAAAAAAAATTATTTTATATTCAAAAAATTACATAAGACATGACAGCGATAATGGTGTTTTCTCTGAAAATTACAATCCTAATTCATTGTGAACCTAGCTTTTAAACCTGAATTATTAATATTTTTACCTAACTTTGGCAGAGATATTCAATAATAATTATAAACTCTTGTTAGACAATTCTTTTAAATCATAATCATAGTAGTTTTTTTGTCGTTTCTATGACAACCTGTAAAAATGAATTACAACAATAGGCATACAAATAAATTCTTAAATCAGCAAAAATTGATTCATATTTTTAATGATTTTTACCTACTAATCGTGTGTAGTTTTTGTGCGATGTTAAGAGGAAGAAAATGTTTCCCGTTAACGATATATATCAAGATATATTTGAATATGTTATTATCTGGAAAACTTTAAGGGCAAACAAAATTAGTGCTGTCATGCCTTATGTGATTTTTTTAATATAAAATATTTTTTTTTAAACACTTTGCTCAGGATTGGGATTGTCACAGGTGCCATTCGGTAAAGTACAATGTTTTTACCAGCTTTTGGGTTATATTTTATTTCATTATCAGATGGCGGTAAAAATTTACAGTGGGCTCTTGGGCTATTATGATTTGATTATGTATGCGCCAGGGATACAAATCCGAGTTGCGCAATGTATAAACTGAAACATTGAGATCAAAAGTGCCGACGCAGAGTGAGCGAACTGATTCTTTAGAGCTATTAACTGTGCTACAGTCAAGTATGTATCAAATATTAGAAGCTACACTGAACAAATTAAATGCGATTAGTTCTTAAAACTTACACCTAGTGCAACAAATAAAATCTACTATTAGATTAGTGGTAAAAAGAAAGCGACTATTATCTAAGATAGACTAGCCCTTTACACTGTATAACCAAAATACACCTTATGTCCGCATGATATACCTATAAGACGGGGAAAAGGGTATCGTACGTCGCACATAACCCTAGTATTTCGGGAGGGTTTATTTAGATATTATAAAAATGATTTATTGATCAAATCTTAATAACATGTACACGTTCAATGGGTCTTCTGAATCACTGTGCAAGTATGCGTGTGTAATACAATAAACAAATCCAGGACAAGGAATAAAATAAAACTATAATGGGAAAATAAACATCAATATTTATATAACATCTCTAGATAATCGGTAACATACATCAATATATATTTTAAGTACTTTAAAATTTACTCCAGTAAAAAAATAAAAGTATAAATAAACCTGAAAAATAAAAGTAATAAAATATAAAAACGTCAATTAATATTTTCTAGATAATATAAAAAAATAAAAAAACTAAAACAAAAATCTAAACAGAGCAACATTTTAGATTGTATTGTATTATTGCACCCTTCTACAGTAATAACCTAATTCTTTACACTTTTGGCACAGGTGCTGCGGATGAACCTTGGATTGGTCCGAAACGTCCAAACCATCCGGCTTTTCTAAAGGTCTCTGCAAACAAAATAATAACGATTACATGAACAATTCATATTTATATTAAGTCCAAAAAAACAAATGGTCAGAAGATCCAGAAGAGTGAAAAAAAGATAAAATAACCCAGTTGCAGCAATTAGCAAAAAATTTGTATTGAATTTCTAACAGTACTATCCATCGGTTCATATGGTTGTATTAACGATATGTTAGTGGCTTTTAGGGGAAAAGTATGGTCTAAAAGTGTTATGTCTAACTGACGCAAGAACCAATTACTTATACAATGTCTATATCTACGACGGCAAAGACACTGATGGAATTGGTCTTACACCAGATGAACAAACACTAGGAAAAGCGACTCCTGGGAACTTCCTTTTTAAGGGTTTACCTAATGTTCTTGGTGAAACCCTATGACATTAAAAAAGAACGACTGATAACGATTTAGAATTGACAAGAGGTCTGTGCATCCGTTATCGAGCAAGTGTTTGAGAGGAGAAGGGAGAACTGGTTACAGTTGCTCCAATTCAACAAGCACCGTTAAAAATAACGTTCAGTTAGAGCTAGGAACAGCTCTAGTAGAGCTCGATTTTTTTGTAAAGAGCACACTTCGACATAATGTGCAGAAACTAATTTGAGTTTGTAGGCGTGGTCAGACAGATTTAAACGTGATCGAAGCCACCTGCCGCTCATCACCGCTCATACAAGTTGAATTCAGTAGCGTATTGTTACTTATTTGTACTTGTTGCATTTATTTAGCTATTTTGAGTTTTGTGCTTCGATTTTTGAGTTTCCTGAGTCTTTATGCTTCGATTCGTGTATATATAAACTTTAATTTGTTATATTTTTTGAATTCCTAAATAATTTTGTGTATATTTTGGTAAGTACATTTACAAAACTATAAGTATTAATCTCAGAAGAAACCGAACATCCTGAAATATTTTAAATACCTTTTAAAACCAGATTTTATGTAAACCATATTTTTCTTATCTTAAGAGCTATTGCTGCGGTAATGAGATAAAATTCGTAGGTTTTATATATTTTATTATCAAGTTCTTAATATTTAAGGTATTGTACGTGATATTTTTTTTGTTGCTATATAGTAACTTAAACTACAGTTCTGTAGTATGAAATCAACAAAAAAGTATTACCACAACGCAGAAAAAAAAATGTCTGAGTATGATCACTGTTTTAAGGATTTGGTGAACATATTACTATTTCTTGATGAAAAAACTGAAACTAAAATTAAACACTCGGATAAAACAAAAAAAAAAATATTTTTTCAATACAAATTGTAAAGGAAAGATTTCTCTAGAGAATTCTTAAAAGAAAATTCTAATCGAATAAAAAATAAAAGCAGAATCCTTAAAACAGTGAATTTTTATTTTTTTTTTCTGCGTTGTGGTAATACTTTTTTGTTGATTTTATACCACAGAACTGTAGTGTAAGTTACTATATAGCAACAAAAAAAATATCACGTAAATACCTTAAATATTAATAACTTGGTGATAAAATATATAAAACCTACGAATTTCATCTTATTACCGAAGCACTAGCTCTTAAGTAACTTTAATTTGTATTACTATTTCAAAAATTTTCCTTGGCTAGAGGTTCAGTTTGCTCTTGATGAATAGAAAAATAAATTTAATACTATTTAAAACAAATTTCCTACAAATATCTATATTTTTAGCTCGTTCAAAATGGAACAGAAAAAATTATTAGGCAAAAAGGGCCAAATTCTTCAAAATCAAATGAAAGAAATAATTTCACGCCTCATAAATTATATGAAAAACGAGGCTGAACACGGTATTCAAATAGAGAGAATTTTAGCTGCTACAGGGATTTCTAGAAGCAGTTGATCTACAATTAAGAAGATGGCTGGTGAAGTAGAAAGTGAAGTTAGTACTTCATTTTCACAAAGAGTATATACAAAAATAAGTACAGTTGTAGAATCTATAAGGCCTGAAGAGTTGGAAAAACTCAGAGGTATAATCCATGATTTTTATATTATTGAGAAGAGACTACCAACTATAAATTGTAAGTTACTATTTTGATTAATTTTTTAATAAAAATATTATTTTAGGTATATTACAAAAAATGAAGGATTGTTGTTTTGAATTCCGGGGTAGCATCTCATCACTCAGGAAAATATTATTAAACATGGGTTTTAAGTAAGTAAATGATACCAAAATAATTAATTTCTCATAATGTTTATTTTTTCAGGTGGAAAAAAAATGAAGACAACAGATATGTTCTGTTGGAATCCTACGACATTAGGAATAAGAGGACAAATTATTTAAAATCCTTAATACAATATCGGCAAGAAGGCAGAACTATTTATTATTGTGATGAGACATAGTAGTCATATACACATTCGAAAGGATGGACCGAAGGCAAATTCAAAATTCCAATGAGCAAGGGGAAAAGGCTCATAATGTTGCATGCAGGGAGTAAGGATGGTTTTGTAGAAAATGGACTGGTGATATTTACTTCAGGTAATAATCTATTTTTTGTAGAAAATTATTTATTATTTGCGTCTTTACCTACTTCATAAAAATCCATGATGCTTAACAATCGAAATTTATGATCAGCTTAAATTTAATTTAAACTGTTCAAGTATTTAATTAACAAGTAATTTAGGTATACTTAATGTAGTGGGTTATTTTATTATCTTCAGTTTAGTTAAAAGATCTTTACCTGTACTTAATCCTTTATTGTTTTATACAAGGGAAAGTTTTTAGTAATTACTTTTTCTTAGGATTATTATAATAAGTCTTATCATCTTGAAGAAATATTTCTTCTAAAAACAGATTATTTTTTAAGTGATTTAAAATTCCTAATAATTTTTGCTTAACTAAGAGTTTTTTGTAAGTTTAAGTATCATACAAAAATAATTATGAAAAATATACTTGCATTATAGATAATAAATTCTTTTTAATTATTTTTTTTTTTTCAGGGACAAAAGACAGGAGATTATCATGATGAAATAATGAACTGGAATAATTTTTCCCAATGGGTTAGAAGGCAGTTACTACCAAATCTTCTGTACTTGTAATCGATAATGCAAGTTATCATAATGTAAAATCTGAAAAATCGATTACAACGCAGAGCAAAAAGGCAGATTTAATTAACTGGCTCGTTAAAAACAATATACCACATGATGCTAAAATGACCAAACCAGAACTGTACACATTAATAAAAGTTCACAGACCTCCACCGAAATTTCTTTTAGACGATCTTCTCGAAGAACATGGACACAAAGTTCAACGATTACCTCCATATCATCCCGAATTAAATCCCATAGAAAAAATATGGGCCACAGTAAAAAATTGGGTGGGTCAACATAACACAACATTCAAGTTGGACAATGTTGAAAATTTGGCAAGAGAAAAATTCCGAAGCATAACGCCGGAGGAATGGGCAAACGTGGTGGACCATCCCGCGAAATATGAGGATGCATATATTCAAAGAGAACACCTTATGGATGAATTTACAGATCCCCTCATATTTAGTGTAAACACGGGGTCATCCGATGAGTGGGAATCCGATATTTCCGGCTTGGAAGATGATGAAGATGATAAAAATGTTAAAAATTATACAAATTAAATTAAAATATATTATTTATTTATACTTTTAGTTGTTTTATTAATTTAAAGTTTATCAGCAATTTAACTAACGAATAGTTAAAATTTAACATTAACTTATTAATATGTTCGATTTAAAATATTTTAATAATGTACACACGCCACTGCTAAGATATCAGGTACCCCTACCGCAGAAGATTTCAGCCCAGCGCCATCAACTAAAGCTCCACAAAGTTATGACGTACTGCGCCAACTGTGGCATAGCTATGACGAAATGTGCTCTTCACAAAAAATCGAGCTCTATTACTCGCGGGTAACCCAGATGACGTAAAAGAAAACACTCTATCTTCATTCAAAGTTTCACTGCAATTATACTGGGTGGATTTTGTCCAAGTCAATTATCTTTTACGAATTAGAAGTTATAGCCTGGGTAAAACAATTTGGGGGCTTGGCATTCTATATTATACTCAAAGTTTAACAAACCCCCCTTAACTCTCTATTTTTAATCAGATATTTTTCAGAATCAATTAGGCTTCATCCCCTTATAGAGCTTGATTTTAACTAAAAAATTCAAAAATCACGCTTTTGAGCATTTATCGTTGCATGCCATAAGAGCCTTTCAACTGGGGAAGGAGGGGCAACGGGGCAATTGCCACCCCCTGAGACTGATAACGTGATAACTCTAGTAGTTGATGCATTTGACCTCTGAAATCTAATGAAAAAAGAACCGCCAACGCTATGAACCTAGGTAATTGCCTCCTCTTGGAAAAGTGCCCCTGGAACGAAGGCAATATGACTGGTACAAGAACTTTATTACTGGATAGTCATCCACCACTGAAAGAATACTTCTTGAGATATCGCAGGATCTCAAGTTCTATTCTGTTTTTTTTTTCACACTGGATCCTACAACACAGTCTAAAGCTGAGACTGCTGAAAGCGCATCCTACATTATCAAAATCAAATAATTCGTTACTCGTCAGCTGTAAAAATCAGATGTACTGATACTGAGTACTCTAAAATGTAAAATAATTAAAACTTTTGATGTATTGAGTCACATAAGGATGAAAGTACTCACGAGTACTAACTACTGAGTACTTTGAGTACTCGAGTACAATTTACACGAGTATTGCCCAGCTCTGACTGACAGTATGAGCATTTTGATTATACTTACTTGTTTATGAGGAAAGACGTTGATATGACACTTAATACATTCTTGACCCATATTAGACCAAGAATTACCCGACATCCATTTTCTCTTGCATTTTGGACACTTGTATTCGCCAAAACATCGCTTTCTGCCTTGGTAAGGAGTTTTACCTTCACCTTTTGGACGAGCCTGAAACGAAATATTGATTTGTAATATTTATAAATTGAATATCTACATTACCAACGCATCAAGCAAAATAAAGGTGAAACTCTTAATTATTATTATTTTTTTAATAACCTCTAAATTAATTTTAAAAATTTGTAGATTTTCGTTAGTGGGTAGTAGAAAAAATATAGTGCACAACTTGGATTGTTCTACTATTTTCTACACCTACATGGATATTATCTATTCTATGCATAATTTACAGAACGAAAACCTAGGCCATTGCGTTCTAATGAACGGATATAATCTCATATCCATTGTAATAAGGACACATATTTTTTAGAATTTTAAATAAGTGACAATTTTGTCAAATTAATTGTCAGTATATTTTTTAGTTATTGAGATTAAAAAATACAAATTATTTATAGGGCAAGAATTATAGAGAATTATATCACAAACAAATTTTATTTAAACAATTTTCTTAAAAATTCGAATTTTTTACATTTTATAAAATTTCTCGAATACGGGCCATTTTAGAAAAATTTTGTACTGGACAAAAATTATAGAGAATAATATAGGAAGTAACTTTTATTTGAAGAATTTTCTTCTCCAAATGTAAATAACAGATATATTCCATAAAATATAAAAATGACCAAAGGGTCATTTATAAAGATAAAGTACCCCCAGATGTTCCGACTCTGCCCAAAATCTAATCAGTTCATCTCAGGCCGGAATAAAGCTTACGTTTAAAATTTAATATTTTTTTCTTTGTCCGTTTTTGAGTTTTCTTCAAAATTCGTTTACACTTTTTCTCAAATATCTCGAATATGGTCCAGTTTAGAGAAATTATGTATAGAACAAGAATTATAGAAAATTATATTACAAACAACTTTTATTTGAACAATTTTCATAAAAATTTGATTTTTTCATTTTGTCAAATTTCTCGAATACGGTCCATTTTAGAAAAATTTCGTATAGAACAAAAATTATAATATTAAAAGTAACTTTTATTTGAAGAATTTTCTTCTCTAAAGGTAAATAATATATATTTCATAAAATATAAAAACGACCCTCTATAAAGTACCCCCCACATAAAACACACACACACGCACACGCGCACACGCGCACACGCGCACACGCGCACACGCGCACACGCGCACACGCACACACGCACACACACACGCACACACACACACACACACACACACACACACACACACACACACACACACACACACACACACACACACACACACACAAAGACATCATCGCGAAAATAGTAAAAACGGATTCAGGGGACCCCAAAATGTAAAAATCCGTCGAAAATTCGAGGTCGAAAAAAATCATGATTCTTATACTTTCCTTATCTGTATGCAGATAGGAAAGTAATACATCGATACCACTATATTTTTTCTTTGTTATTAGAAAGTAATAGTTTTTTCTAACACAAATTGCTGTTGAAGTGCAAATATGTTTCTGGATTAAATAAAATTTTGAGGTTTACATGGTTTTATGTTTCACTGACTTTAGTGCCACTGTACCAGGGTTGCCAACTTTTCAAATTCCATTTACCGTACTGCGCAATTCAAATAACCGTACATGGGCTCCCAGTACCGTACACTTTTATTTTATAAAACAACTATATTTTATAAATCTTTTTGTTGGGTTTCTAAAAAACAAAGGTCCTCATCATATTATTTTATTCAACTTCTGGTCCTATCTTCTAAAAAAAGGGCGTACAAACCAGGCCCTTTTGAAGCGTACAAACGAGGCCCTTTTACATTGGATAATGTCATTTTAATCGTCATTAAGTTATTTAATGGAATCGATTCTTGCACAACTCAAAGTCTTTGCTAATTCTGTTCAAAATACCGTACTTTATACGTAAATACCGTACTTTTATGTACGGTAATGTCTTTGGACCGTATGCTGTACATTGATCGAAATTACCGTACAAGTACGGTAATTACCGTACAATTGGCAACCCTGCACTGTGCCATGACACTACCTTATTTTTGATGCAAAAATATATTTTTTCTTCTTAAAATGTCTCATATTTTTATTTTATTTTATGCATTTCTTTTTATATTCAAAATACATTTGAAATGCGACAACCTCGCGCTGCATAAATTTCCATCCAAGCTCGTGCCGCGTACCTGAGCCAGTTCTCAGCTGGCACTTGGGGAGAGAGAGATTTTACTAGCAGCCTAGGTGAGCAACAGAGATGGGTACATTTTACATGTATTTAAACGGTAAAATCAAGGCATATTCGTGCCGGGAACAGCGTCGATAGCTATTCAGATAATCGCGGTTTCTCGATAATGTCGATTGTTGACTGAACCGAATTTCTTTACGCGCTTTTAAGTTTTTCTTTACGTTACAAAATATTATTAGTGACGTTAATGTGTGTCTTTTTGTTTTTGATAAACTTGTTTTTAATTTATATGACAATGAATAAAATTGGCGTCTTAAAAAACTCTTTAAGTGGTTTTTCGCTAGAAGAAAAACTACAAATTAAAGAATTAGGCCGGCCAATTCCTGATTTAAAAATTGAAAAACAAAGGGGAAGTGGGCAAAAATTGCGGTGTCGTAAATTTAATAAAACTATTTATGATAAAAATAATTGGTTGTGTGGTTACGAAGAAAGTGATAAACTGTTTTGTTTTGTATGTGTTTTGTTTGGAGGTGACGAGACTTGGTCAAAAAAAGGCACAGACGATCTTGTCCATATATGGGATAATAAAATCCCATGAAAAATCTAAAGTGCACATGAATAATGTTTTTAGCTTTTCCGTGCTTAGTAAGTTAAATATAAAAACCCAGTTAAACTCGGCTTATCGTGATGCTCTAATTAAACATAATCAACAAGTGGATAAGAATCGATATGTTCTAAATCAAATTATAAATTGTATAAGGTTTTGTGGAGCCTTTGAGTTAGCTTTAACGGGTCACGATGAGAAAGATAATTCGGAAAATGGAGGCATATTTAAGGAGCTGGTGAATTTTAGCGCCGAATTAGACAACGACTTAAAGATTCATATTAAAAGTTCAAAAGCTTTCAAAGGTACCTCAAAACAACCCAAAATGAACTTCTTGAGTGCATGTTAGATGTTTATCACGAAGAAGGTAGGAAAGAAATAGAAAATTCTCCTTTTGTTGCAGTGATTGCCGATGAAACGACGGACGTTGCTTGTGAATTTCAATTAGTTATAGTTTTCAGATATTTGTGTAAAGGACGACCAGTTGAGAGATTTTGGAGGTTTTACATGCTCGATGGACACGACGCCAAATCAAACGCTGAATGCATTTTAAATGTTTTACAACCATTATTAATACATAGTCCAAATAAATTAATTGCTCAAAGCTATGACGGCGCGTCTGTTATGAGTGGTAGATTAAATGATGTGCAAAAAATTATTAAACAAACATATCCTCTTGCAAATTACGTTCATTGCTATGCACACCAGATGAATTTAGTTATGACAAGAGCATGTTCTGTCAATAAGCAGGCTAGAATATTTTTTTTTAATTTATCTGGTTTGTGCTCTTACTTTTCCACGTCTCCTCAGTGAACAAAAATTTTGGATGAGGTAGTTAATTGCAGGTTGCCAAGATCTTCTTAAACACGTTGGAATTTTCAATCGCGAAGTGTTCATACTGTTTATGAGAATAGAAAAGACCTCATTACAGTTGTGGACATTATAGAAAGTCCTTCACGCGATTCGTCGTCTATTAATTAAGCAAGTGGGTACAAATTAAAACTTTAGGATAAAAATTTTATATTATGGTTAAGTATTTTTCATCAAATAATGCTTCACGTGAAAATAATTTTTAACCAATTACAAAAAGTATGCACAAATTCTGTTAAGGTCAAGAAAGATTTGGAGAATTTCGAAGCAGCAATTCAAGGTATACGGGAGCAAATGGACAGCATTATTGACAATATTCAAGGAGAAATAAACACGTCGCAAGGAGAAACTGGTGAACCAATAAGAAAAAAGGCACGAATTGAAGAGAACAGCAGAAAACGCGAAGCCTTAGAAATATGCGATGCCGTTTTATTGCAAATAAAAACAAGGTTAACTTCTCTGGGCATTTGATCGCTTCCAATTTATTTATGTCGGAGAAGTTTTCGGTCTGTAGGCATCAGTTTCCCGAATCATTTCTCAATGAAACATGTATACAATTTTCATTTTTAGACAAAAATATGCTTAAAAATGAATTACAAGTACTGTATCAGAGAGACGAATTAAGTACCACCTCCGAAGCTGTCTCGCTATCAATTTTATTAAATGAGGAAGGTTTAAATTGTACATTTCAGGAAACTCTTAAACTTTTAGTTATTTTGATAACAATACTTATGTCAACATCTGAAGCAGAGCGCTGTTTTTCAAGGCTTAAACGGATTAAAACATTCCTCAGAAATACAATGAAGGAAGAAAGACTTGGTGCTTTAGATATGTTCGCAGAACAACATTTTGTAAATGGAATTGAAAATTTTAATAATAAAGTAATTGAAAATTTTGCAACCAAAAAAGAAAGAAGAATGGACTTAATTTATCGGAAACTTTAAAACTAGTATATTAAGCAACTTTGTGCGCATGTGTAAATACTATAAATAGGTTTAGTTTTATTTTTTTAGTATATGGACCTAAAGACTCTTTATAACAAACTGCAAGGACTTTCAGCATTAATTACTGGGTGTAAGTTAATTTATAATTTTTAATTAATTTTACAGAGTTCTTTGATAAGTTTTGAGTAATTTATTGGCAAAGTTTAGGATAAAACTAACCCTTACAGCCTGTTTCGTGGCAAAACTTGTGTTAGAAACCTCATAAATAGTAGTCACATAATAGATATAAAAGTATCCGTCCTTCATTTATGTTTTTAATTAACATTTTGTATATATTTTGACAATACCGTGATAAATTTTTGCCCAAAACCAGTTTTTTAAACGACTTTTGGTTAAAAATTTGGGCGTAGCACCCTAAAAAAAATTTCGCCCCTAGTGGGGGGCCTCCGACAGCGCGTGTCTCCGGCGGGGTTTTTACATTTGTTAAAAATCTGGCACTATACTCGGACAAAATATTGGAGAAGGTGAGTCATAAGCATGATCAACACTGTTGTCTATGAATGAAAATTCCGACAGAGTTAGCATAGGCGGCGTATCAAATACCAAATAATTATTTTTTATTTATTAGGTATTTGTTAGTAAACTTTATTAAATTTCTTTGTCAACATCTTTATTTAAACAAAGATGATGCGTTAAATATATACGTTTCTGATAGTTTTCAAGAAATGAATATATTTATTCCCTAATGACTTCGTTATCTGTGTTTAATGGTTTTAAAATGTATTTCAAGTAAATAAGCAACAGACGGGTTACAGATTGAATAGTGTCAGCACAGGCACAAAGACAGTTGAAAACTAACTTTCGACAAAGTTAGATTTGTATCGCTTTAACTATTTACGATAATTATTTTATATTTTATAAACACTTTTTTGTATAAGTGCTCTTTTCTGATATAGAGTAGATGTTCATGTTTGTGCCTTACAATTTGGTAGTGATAGTGCATATTCGAGGAGTTATATTTATTGTGTAGTATATTAGGTAGGTACTTTAAAAGTTTATTACATAGTAAAATATTGGTGTCTTTATAAATTTAATAAAAACAATTTAATAGTAGAATTATATTGTTACAATATTAATGGTTTCAGAGGCGGGTCCAAGTGAAACCCAATTATGTCGGCGAAAGTCCTTATCAAAGGATGAAAAGAACATTATATGGAAAGTGTATGATGGGCTGAAACAGACACTTCCTACAAATAAAGCTGTAAACCGCAGTTCTTTTTTAACTGGAGTATCTGTTTCAACAATTGAACGTATTGTACGCGAAAAGACAAAAACATGCTCCTTAGAAGCCCCTAAAACGCATACTCGTGGTCGAAAATTGTTGAAATTGGACGATAACCAAAAACAAATCATTCGAAGAACTGTACATTCTTTTTTTTTTCGAAAACAAAGCCCCAACACTTAAAGTTGTTCTTACGAAATTAGGAGAAAGGGAAGAAATTCCATTAATGAGCCGTGAAACTTTACGAAAAATTTTATGGTGCCTAAAATTTCGTTTTGTCAAACGGTGTAGAAAATCAATTTTAATTGAAAGGTCAGATATAGTGTCCTGGCGACGGCGTTATTTACGAACTATTAAAGAATTTAGAGCTGCTAAAAAAAAGAAATACTATATCGATGAAACGAGGGTGAATGCTGGACACACGGTATCTAAGATATGGCAAGATACTTCTGTAACTAGTCATCGCCAAGCTTTTATAGAGGGATTATCTATAGGTTTGAAAGCACCATCAGGTAAAGGACAGCGCCTAATTGTTACCCATATCGGAAGTGACAGTCGATTTTTGGAAAATAGCGCTCTTGTGTTTATATCGAAAAAACAGGAGACTACTACGAGAACATGAATGCGGAATGCTTTGAAAAATGGTTTACTGAAGTATTACAGCGTGTAGAACGAAATTCAGTTATTGTACTAGATAACGCTTCTTATCATAGTTAACGAGTTGAACGCATACCGATAATGTCCAGTAGGAAAGCGGTTATGCAAACCTGGCTGCGGGATAAAGCAATAATATTTACTGAGGAGATGCTTAAAGTGGAATTAATGGGCATAATAAAGGAACACCGCCATAAATATATTCAATATGTTGTCGACACAATGGTTTGTGATCGTGGTATTACGTTACTAAGACTTCCCCTTATCACTGCGAATTCAATCCTATTGAACTCATTTGGGGAGGGTTTGTAGCTCGAGAAAATAAAACTTTTAAAATAGACGACGTTCAAAGTTTATTAAAAACCGGTATAGAACGTATAAAACTTGAAGATTGGCAGAATGCTATTTCCCATGTAATTAAAAAAGAAAATAATATGTGGCGCTTGGACGGTATGATCGAAACGGTAGTTGAACCTTTAGTCATAACTTTAAGTTCTGACGATAAAGACGATTCCAGTGATAGTTCTGCAGAATCAATGGATTACGAAACTTCATAGATTTAGAATTCAAGTAAGTGATACCAAGCTTAATTTACATATTTTTATAATAAACAAAATACAATTATAAACATAGATGAATTATTATAACAAAAATAGATAACCAACCTACTTTCATCTAGTAATATTCACAAATACCCATTTAATTTGCCAATATAGTAATTCTGCGACACTGGAAGAGTGCATTTTGATATGATAACGATACCTTTTGCAGTTTTAAGGCGCACCCTCTTCAATATTTTGTTCTAGTATAATACCCCATTTACTTACTTACATATAATTTTATTTTCTATTACCACATTTAATTTGCCAATAGTTTTTATACGCCACTGGCGTAATTCATTTTGGCAATAAACATGCATTTATGACTAGTAGGCACGTGATACAGGTAAGTTCTGCAGTTTTGAGCACGTGATTCCATTCATTAGGCTCTGGTATAGTATTATTGTTGTACGTGATCAGGGAGGAATCATCTCGTATTATCACTAGCCGGCACTGATGGCAGTGAATCATCTATTCTATTGCATAAAAATAAAGATGGATATCTAGAATATACCTTAGTTAAGCAAATAGAAAGGGAAGGAGTCACTGTGATCGCGCGTCGGTGACTGCCCGACAAATATTCAACGTTAAGGGTTCTGAGATACCGCTTTTTGGCTTAGGACTCTTAGGAGTACTATTTTAAAAATTGGTAAATGTAATAAATTATTTTTAAAATTTCGTAGATTTTTTGTTGGTGAGTCGTAGAAAAAATATACTGTTCAACTCGAGTGAATTGTCCGTATCGCACGATTGAGCACTCCGCTTACAGCGTCTTGCTTAAACTTCGTGCGATACGAGCTACATATTCACTTTTGTTTAGGGCCGCCGAGAGCCAGACCGGGCCCCAGGACAATTTTCTAGATCGGGCCCATTGACAAAAAAAGCTCTTCAAACAAAAAATTTTCCTCCTCTACTTGAATTGCTTTTTCTAAAAAAAAAAAACAAAAAAAGGTCCTCAAGCTAAGGGCCCCAACCAAACACTTCCTCTTTCGTCTTGTGTCGTTCTCATACAAGACAAAAAAATCCAGTGCCGGGCCCCATATCAGTCCGGGCTACCCCCCCCCCCTAGTCGGCCCTGCTTTTGTTGCACAAACTACTGTGACATTTTTTATTTTTAATAAAAATATTAGTTATTTTTTATTCCTGTACTTTTCTTTCAGTAATTTCCAGATGGAATTCTCATTTTCAAAACCACCTTGTATTAATAATCCAATTCAGAACTAGGTACTGCGAAATCAGCAAAATACTTAAGTACGTTCTACAAAACCATAACATAAACAACCACAATCGAGTGGTATCTTCAAAACTGCTGAGATTTCAACGACTATCAAATTACCTACTACAATCAATGAAACTGTGTGTATTCGCTCGTCTCTCAGCTGCACTTCGTTATCGTATAATTTATTTCTTCCCGTGCTTCGCGATAAGAAACTATTATATAAATATAAACAAAACAAAAAACGACGATTGTTTAAATAAAGCTAATGTATTATTTGCTTTGAAAGAGATTTAATTGCCTAAACAATTTTTAAGTGCTCTATGGTTGATGAGTAAGTAAAAAAATACATATTGTTTATGATGACAGTTTAATAAATAAAAAATTTGACCAAGGCTAGTCGTGAAATAGTTTACTCTTTAAATAATTTCGAATAAAAGACAAATTTTTAGATATTTTTATTTTTACAAAAAAATGTTTCGTCCTTGAAAAAAATAATAAAAGAGTTAGAATTATGGATTTTGATACTATTAATGAAAATTTTTACCTAGAGTTGAATGAAATTATACACTCACGGCAGAATTAACTGCCCACCCAATTATTTTTATTTATTTCTGAAATTTTCAAAAACTGTTTTTCTTTTTACTTAGCTCTAGAGCAGAGCATGCAAGGGTCTCGGAGTACCCTACTTTTAGAGCTCTTTCACATGGGGATACTGTATGCCAGATACGCGTATCCGAGATACAGAATCGCGGTCGAAAAGTTGGAAGCTTTTATATTTTTTAATATACAGTGAAACAATAGTTTTTGTTTATCCTGTAAATTTGTATAGAAAAACTATTTCTGAATCCATGTTTGAATTTCCCGCCCTAAAGGTACCATTTCGGTAGGCGCGACAGACGACCGCCGACGCGACCGAGAAGGGTCGCTTCACATCTAAAATACATACAATTATATGAAACACATTTCGCACGGCACGACACGAGAAGTGTCGTCAAGACGACACTTCCTGACTACACTTCTGAATCTGTCTCGGGGTCACTGTCCTCGGAGTGTCGCACTTTCGATCTAGGCAGCTTTGCCAGATTTTGGAACAGTATGGGTAAAAAAAAACCGTAGATCTGAACAGTAGATTTTAATACAAGGGGAAATAATTATAATTTGCTCTTGATAAGACTCGATTACTCTCATGGTTTTGACGAAATTTGCATTTTAGTAATTTTAGAACATAAACAATAATTATTAAAATACAAACTTTGTCAAAACCATGAGAGTAAATCGAGTGTTATCAAGGGTACTTTTTTGTAGTAAATGAGTACCCAATGCAAATTTCACACTCAAACCCCTTTTTTGCCTTGGCGTAGAATTTTTAAAGGTGCAATTATTTAAAAAATCAAGTTCTACGCCTATGTATTATTATCGGACAAAATTTTATACGATGAAAAACATAAAAATGTACTTTTTTCATATCTTCTTCAACACCTCTAATCGAGATTTTTAACAAAAATACTCGATTCTTGCCATGTACGATTTTTTGAGGAATATTAATTATTTGCCTGCAATACGTATACAAAAACATTTATTGTTGGTTTCCATAGTTTCATCTAAATAAAAATATTGTCAAGTTTTAACACCTAATCTCTTGTTAACGATTGAAAGTGTTCTATCTGACTCAATAATTAAAAAAACAAATGCGTGGTTTATTAATATGGCTGTACAATATACCAATGCAGAATATACCGATATGTTACTGACATTAGGATTTTGTGAAGGAAATGCTCGAGAGAGTGTCAGGGTGTACTCTTAAAGGTTTCCAAATCGTCGTGTACCTAGCCACCCAACTTTTGCTGCTGTTGAGAGACGTCTTCGGGAGACCGGTTCCTTTGCTCCCAACACTGTTGATAATGGAAGAGAACGTTTTGTAAGGATTCCTGAAGTTGAAGAAGACATTTTAGAACGTGTTGAAGAAGATCCAGAATTAAGCACCAGACGAATTGGAAGGGAACTAGGAGTAAGTAAAGATGTCGTTCATAAAGTGCTTAAAGAACAATTGCTATATCCATACCATAAGAAGCCAGTACAAGAATTATTAGTCCATGATCCTCAAATTCGTCTGGGTTTTTGTCGATTTGTTAATATGCAAAGAGAAAGAGATCCAAACTTTGTCAAGAAGGTTCTCTTTACCGATGAAGCGGGTTTTACAAGAAGAGGTATAACTAATACCCATAATGAACATGTTTATGCCGTTGAAAATCCGCATGCAATAAAGGCAAACCATTTTCAGCACGAATTCAAAATTAATGTGTGGGCTGGAATAATTGGTAATTTCATTGTTGGTCCTGTCATACTTCCATGAAGATTAACTGGTGAAAATTATTTGGATTTTCTACAAAATACGTTGCCAGAATTGTTAGAAGATTTACCTCTCCAACTTCGGAGAGATGTGGTTTATGCAAGATGGAGCTCCAGTACATTTTTCTTTAAACGTTAGAAACCACTGGAATGAACAATATCCACACAAATGGATAGGCAGAGGTAATGACGCACCTGTAAACTGGTCACCACGTTCCCCAGACCTAACACCGATGGATTACTTTTTATGGGGACACCTGAAATCCACAGTATACAGGAAACCTGTAGAAAATGAGGAACAACTCTGGCAACGTATTCAAGATGCAAAAAACAATCTTAGAGGTGATGAAGAAGTTATGGAAAGGATAAATTTTAATTTTCTTCGACGTATAAATCTTTGTATGCGTGAAAATGGTGAACATTTTAAACAATTTTTGTAAAATCTCTATTTTGATTATGTTGTAAATAAATATTTTTGTGAAACCTATACACTCTAAATTATTAAAACAGAAATTTTGCGAAAACCATGAGAGTAATGGAGTCTTATCAAGAGTACCTTTTTTAAAGTAAATGAGTTGCGCAATCTAAATTTCATACTCAAACGCTTTATCTTCCATTGGCGTAGAATTTTTAAAGGTGCGATTATTTAAAAAATCAAGTTCTACGCCTATGTATTAATATCGGACAAAATTTTAACACCATTTTTTTTGCCACATAAAACTCTACCAATATACCAAATTTCAGCAAAATCGCATATGCCGTTTTAAATTTATATAGGAAAAACGATTTAAAAATTGTAACTTCAAGGCCCTCTGGAGCCCAAACGAAGCAACTTTGTACAAAAGTAATTTTACTTAAATCGACTTATTTTGGTCTAAGGAATATGTGGTATGTTTTTGTAAAGACTTTTTACAGACCTGTATAACACATTACGAAATGCCCATTTCTTGTAACTCGTTCATTTTGCGAGACCTCGCTCTGCTCTTCTCGCACATATCCACTCGTTACATAACATAAGGCATTTTATAACTGAATATATAATATAAATAACTATTATAAGACCATACATACTATATATTTTACAATTTATAACTCTTGTAAAACTTACCTGTGGACAGTCCTTGATGTAATGTCCTTTTTGAAAACACAAGTGGCACAAGTACGAGGGCGGCGGCCTTTTAATGGGCCTCCTGTCTAATGCCAGGTCTGCGAATTGGTCGGTAATGTCTGCCAAAGGATCACAAAGACTTTGGTTCGAATAAGAAGGGCTGTAGAGGTTGAAGGAATATGGCTGGTTTGTCGAGTATGTGTTCCAAGCTGGACTCAGAAGTTTTGGCTAAAAAAATACAAAAGTTACTAATCGACTAGATGATATTCAGTTAGTTATATTGTTGTTAGCGGTCAAAGATAACAATGGTTTTTATCCTAGATCAGACCATGTGTTTTTTTTTTATTTATATGGTCCGTTGTAGGACTTGTTGTAAGACTTCATTCTGTTGATACATCTATATTTTAATTCAAGAAAACTACGTGCTGCAGATGATGATGGGAGAGGTTGTCCTCACCTGGATGAAAAATTACACCATCAAGTGCCTGTTAGTCGCCACAGACTCCCTAGAGAAGTGAACTGTAGGGAGAATATTATTGGTGTGTTGATTATAGCACTCGGGGTTTGCTAAACTAAAACACCTACAGAAACTTTTAGAAATTAGAAATACTCTATTTTGAATTCGAAGATAGGTATTTGATAGTTGTAGGTCTTAGAGTTAATCTTTTATACCATTTGGAAGAGATCCATGGAGAAGATTATTAACTATTCTTTCACATGCTGCATTTGTTAAAATTTAATTGTGATTGTGTAGCACGGGTTAGAAAAAGTTCAATTCAAATATACTAACATGCCTAAGCTAAATACATTCCTTTGATATTTGTCAATTTAAAAGATCATTTTACATTTATATCCACGACAAACTATTCGCAGAGTACATTCAGTAAATTGATATTTGCTTTTGTTCAAACATAAATGACAAATTCAGATAATAGAATCGAAAATAACATTCTTTTCAATTTCTTTGAATCATTGATTTAAATGACTCTCCTCAATCTTTTCTAGAATTCACCTATGCAAGAATAATTTATTGATAGATGAAAGGGTATCAGATATAAAAGATATAGAAAAAATCAATCTTACTGATAGTTTCTTTGGATTACTTAGAAACTCAAGATACATACTTTGTGGAAATATCTCATATTTGATTTTGTTGTGTATTTAGCAAACTAATTTCCATTTAGAACATCTTTTCTTTTAATATATTGATCAAGAGTACCTTTTCTTAGTTTAAGGTTTAAGCTCTTCAAAAATAAACTATGCCGCAGATGAAGTGAGACAGCCAAAAAATTGCCTAATTTTGACTAACTATAACTTCAATGTTGGATTTCCAGCCAGAGGTGCAAATCGCCATTCTTGCTGTTTGTGTTAGTGGCGTTGAATATATTTTTTTATTACTTCTAATGATAATAATAATAATAATAATAATGTTTATTTACCAGAAATATATACACTCAGATACAATAAAATACAATAGAAAATAAAATGTAAATAAATAAGAAATGTGTCACTGAATCTGCACAATGACAGATTGTGTGTGACAAAAAATACGACAAAATAATAATAAATAAAACATATAAATAAAATAATTTAATGGTAAGAATTTGAAAATATGAAGCAAAGACAATTAAAAATTAAAACTTAGGAAATACAATATTATTAATATAAATAAAAATTATACACTTTTGATATTATATTAAATAAAAGTTAATAAGAAAATACCTCGACATACCTCATACAACAAACATTAGAGGAAAGGGTATAATTATGGGCTAGGCTTGGATTATGGGCTACGGTAATATTTCCAGTACAACGATTGCCATCTATTGGTTGACATCACAATTATATGCGCTTAGCATTAGGTTGTTTTGGTTCACGTTCTAGAATTGTTCCAGAACCATGCGCACAGGGCTGGTATATCTAAGGGGGTCGCGACCTCAGATAAATAAATAAATAATAGATACAGCCCTATCATGCAATATTTGTAACCAGCATCTCCTATCACTATATAGCAGTGGTTACACGACTTGATTGGATATTCGCTATTTTGGTTACACACCTGATTGGTTAGCAAAAAATTGACAGGACTACGTCAGTTAGGTTAGTTATTTTATGGTTATTTTGTGGTTCATTTTGAGTTTATTTCGTACTTTAATTGAAAAATTTTTGTGGTTTAAGTTATTTTAGTGCATTTAATTGCTTAAAAATGCCAGAGAATTGTATTGTGTGCTCGAGAAAGTATCTCAAGTTCAGTTCGATAACGTTTCATAGGTAAGTAAATAAAAACCATTACCGTTGCATCACACTTTTTTGAGGGGTATCATAATTCAAAATAAGGTTTAAACAACAACAATTTATTTTAAAGTTTAAAATAACATTCAACGTCGAATTTCGAATTATTTTATTGTGCCTGTGTTTAATAACTTTGAATTTATTAATAGGCTATCTTTAAATTAAAGTTATATTGTTATGCACACTGTACATTTAAGAAGGCTCTAGTGGCATTTACTTTAGTTTTAAAATCTTAGTATTGCTTTATTTTAATGACAAAATATATTGTTAGAACACCATAGTTATTTTAAAGTATACTATGTTGCATTCTGTATTTACATGAAATCCTATATACCTACCTATATGAATAAGAAAACACTATTTTATACCTATTTAGGTTTCCAAAAGATCCTCAAACTAGATATATGTGGATGAAGAGTTTGGGTATACGTGAGGATGAAGAGTGTATTCAGCAGAATTTGTTCAAGACATTTTGAGGATTCTGCCTTTGCTAAGTCTCCAGGAGGAAAAATGTTTTTAATGAAAGGAGTAATGCCCTTATTTTACTCACAGCCTAAAGCTGTTCCTCAACTGGAAACTATGTCACATTCTAAACCTTCTACATCTGAAACTAAGTGAGTATTTGAACAAAAACTATAAATAATAAAAATGGTTTTTTGTCTTTGTTTAATTAATTTGAATATTTTAAGTATTAGTACGGTAACCAATAAATTTTGTAATTTTTTAATTACCTATTCATGTTATTTTAATAACAAAATAATATATGTAATTATTATGATATGTTTTCTTATTGTCTAAATTAAAATAGGTTTCATTTATCTCAAGTGAATGTATAATTTACTTATTATATAGTTACACGTCACATAATTAATTTAATTTGTAAATTGTGTAGTAGGAAAATGGTTGCCAGTATCGCATCATCCTGGAAATATCTAATTCGTATTCTTGGAGACTTGTCTCGATTCTGCTTACGATCCTTTAAGTCTTTCAAAGTTATCCGTTTTTTCTACAGGTACAGTCTGAAGAACATCTAAAGCATCCCCTTGAAAGGCGATGGTCACATTTACTTACTTTTCTCGTTCAAACGTCCAGGACGAGATTAAAAAATAATTGGGCAGTATAAGAACCGATAATTGGATCAATCTCTTAAGGCTAAGACACGCTAAGATACTTTTGGGTGAATATAACCAGGAAACCATGGCAGGAAACATCGGAAGCCTGTGTGAGATCTGTATACCCATTTATAAATGGTAATGTTAGTACCCGTGACGCCATCTATGTTTCAGCTTCATATAAGTGTTTCTCCTTATATCACAGTCATCTGTAGTCTGTAACCCCGTAGGATTATAGATCGTACGTAGATGCCGCCACGAGTACTAAATAAGAGTCAGATGCGCATTGTCTCGTATTACAAGTTCGTATTTCATCTTGAGTTTTGTCTAGTATTATAACCATTACTGAATTACTGTGTTTATCAGAATACTAGAGAATAAAAGCTTACAACAAGGTGTTGTTTTATTGAGTAGTGTATAAATAAGGCATACATCACAGCCTGCATCTCCCTGAGCAAGAACAGGCTTCGTATTGTAACAGGGATCCTTACCGGGCATTATCGACTTAAAGGACACCTTAGTAAACTGAGAGTAGTAGAGGATAGCGAGTGCAGATTCTGTGAGGAGGAGGATGAAACCTCCATTCACATTCTAACTGAATGTGTAGTACTCCAGACTCCAAGGGCACTATACCTAGTAGGAGGATATCAAATAGAAAAGAGAGAGAGATTTACCTAACACGAAGCCACTCCAAATCCTACACTTCCTTGGGAAGATAGGATTGAAAGGGTCGTTATAGGCATTGAGACATTTCCTTGGTGCATTAGCGACAGAAGGGGCACAATAGATCTTTTAGATCGCAGTGTATTAACACCCCATTCCCAACAACATCTCAAGTGAATGTATATCATATTTACTTATTATCACGTCTCATAATTAATTTAATTTGTAAATTGTGTGGTAGGAAAATTGTTGGGTTTTATTTATCTGTAGTTAATGAATATTAGTTTTAGTTATCTAGATACCTGTCACATAATTATTTGATTTATAAATTATGTGAAAGGAAAATTATTGGCAACTAAATTATTATTATAATCACCCCATTATCCATTATTAATTGTTATTAAACCAAATGAGTACAATAACACAACGTCTCTAAAAAATTGCTTAACGTTGTTCTATTTCTAACTGACAAGAATTCATCGAAATTAAGTTTTATTATTCAAAATATTGTGTATTAGAAAACCTTGGCAATATTTTAAAACGGTAATTATGAACTTATCATTTATTACATAAGTATCGCTTTATTCTAAACTGTTATTATAACATTTGTTTTGTTTTCCAGATCTAACCCAACTATTTAATAAAATGAATTACATACCACATACCTATTATAAAAATTGTTTTTTTAACCCTACTTTCCCAATTATTAAAAACCATAAATATTTTGTGCACAAAATTTAATTAACTTAAAAGGGACTAACAATAAACAGATACTTTATTCTATTTTTTATTATATATATAAGCGGTACTCATAACAAATCAATAAAAATAATTTACAAAAGAATCGATATTATTAAAAAATATTAGCACAAAAATTTAGAATTTATAAAACCTATGATTGCAACGTTTATTCAAATTATTTGTGTATAAAAATAATGTATGTTTTTAATTTAAAAAATATATGTATTGGTCGACTGAAAAATTAATTTTTGACGGTTTTCTATAAACATCTCATATTAGAAACATTGATCCATTGAAATATCTCAAAACTAATAAAATAATATAAATCAAAAGCATTTCTATTGACATTTATTTGATACGCTACTGGATAATAAAACTAACAAACCCCGCTCTTCCCCTCCTAACAACTGGCTTGTATAT